ATCGAGCTCTAAATTTCAGGAAGCCGTACATTTTGGTAAGTGTCTGGCGTTTCCGCAAATACTGTTCAGTGGTTCTAAATACGAGCAACGTTACTGGTATTTCCCTTTAAATGAGAGTGTTATGTAAAATATGCATTCAAACTGTTACTTTTCTGCCTGGAATGACTGCCGATTTCGACATGAGAATAAACTATAAGTGAAGTGCTGGATGGTACACGTGACTTGGGGATGAAGCGAATTATCTCACTCTGTGTATGTATATATTTATGTGGTAAAATTGGCAGCTAATATGTTTTTGAACTAATCACCGGTTTTAGCTATAATTAGCGATATCACTCTGGACACAATATATTACTTCAAAAGACCCTTCTTAAAATTGCCTCGGTTGCTGAACGGTGGTACTGTGACACCCGTGAACTCAAAAGTCAACGTTCATTAGGTCAGATCACCCTGTAAACACCTGTAAACACTTTAGGCTGGTCCATCTTGTTTCTGACGGATTTTGTTGGGCCAACTTATCAGGGCCAGTTTGGGTGCACAAAAATTGAATGAACCGTAATAAGGTGTATGTATTCGGATGATCGTTTGTGGTCGCACTCGAGAAAGGATCTGCAGGATTTCGTTTCCATCGTTTGTTTGAGCTTGAACTCTGTGATCAAAGACGACTGCTCGCTACTCAAACCACCACTACATTTCATTCATCTGGGGTACGGGATCTTCTTTCTTGTGTCATCCACATTGCAATAAAGCCAACCAATGCTTAAATATTCTTCGGGGTATGGAAGACCAACCGAAGATTGCAACAAGTACTCATAGTAAAGTCTCTTGACGAGCAAGCGGTTCGTCATTGTAAGTTAGCTGTATCTATCCAGCTTTGAGATTCCTGGTACAGCCTAAAGGTCGTCAAGATTTTCAGATTCCTGAAAACAAACTCAGGGTGCCCGAAACCTACTGAAATTTTAAAAATCCATCAAAACGTCAACGGAGAAGCTGGAGAGAATCCGGGCTATTCAATCAATGAATTGATTCAGCAAAAACCAATGATTATTCAGTCACGCCATAGAAGCACTGTCGGTGTTGATTGGTGCTCACTAAATGCTTACCAGACAGTCTGGATCAATGTCAAAAGGAGCCCTTTAACTAGCGCGGGGCCGTCGTAAATTCTGCACACTCCTGTAGCAACAAAGTTGTCGTGTTCTCTGTTGGCGAGCCTTTTTCCGGCACCACGGCACTGGAGCAGGGACAGCAGTTAGATATAAAAAAAGAAATCATAATTTGAGCCTCTTGCGGTGATTGTAAACGAGGTTAACAGGGAAACTAAAAGCTATAAACAGCAAGCTGTTCCAGCGTGTTCATAGTGAAAACTTGATGGTCGGAAGAAATAAGGATTTCGTGTACATCACTGACCGGCTCTTGAGGATTTTCTACCGTATGTGACCAGCCGGTCGGCCGTACAGCGAACGCATTCACAGCAATATAAGGAAAATCATGGGTAACTACACTTTGCTGGGTCTTTTTTTCCGGTAACATGCACAGAATATGAACAAAACAAATCCAGTTCCTCCAAGAATACATATTATATATCAAAAGGTGTGCAAGTTCACGAAAAAGGAGCTTCAACAGTATATAAACTATTATTTGGTCGGAAGGGATTCGACAATCTGGTACTAGTTTGTCACTGAATATTGTACAAACAGGAACTGGTTTGTACGTCAACCACTTAAATCCACTTATTTCCCCGTCAAACAAACAAAGCTAAGAAACTACGCAAGCACCATGTCCACGACAGATGAATTCTTTCGTCACTCTGGTAAGTGTTATTTAACGTGAAAACGGATCCATGCAGACCCCAGAAACCAGAATAATTGTCACACTACAGTCCACTTACTACTCACAAGTAAGCGGTGCAATTTGATCGTCAGTCAACAAACAGGTCCGTCCCACTAGTGCATCACATCATTGTTATGAAGTGCAAATAAGTTTACGAATCTCAGAGCGATATGAATAGCAGCCTAACCTCGCATAAATAATCGGAGGTCAAATGTGTCTTTTATATTGCCGACTAGTCGTGTCTGAACAAAGAACACTACATAATTTACACAAGCAATAGAACCAGTTAACAGCCGAGTTGACGACGGTTTCCAATATCAATAAGATTCAAATTACTGATTGACTGCTTCAAACAGCCGAGTTACGACGGTTTCCAATATCAATAAGATTCAAATTACTGATTGACTGCTTCAAACTAACACAACTGTCTTACATCCTTTTCACGTTCCTGATGAGCCCGTAAAATCCATAAGTCTAGTTGACCGCCACTCGCCGTTGATCGGTGTTCGTCCATGCGCTGAAACCCCTTGTGAGCTTCTTCCGTACGTCTGAATATCACCGTAACAATGATCTTCATGTTTTTCACTCACTGATGTTGAACGTACTCTTGACCAATCGTTCAACAATGCTGAGTATAAACGCGAGACTTAATTCAAAGACGAAATGCACTAGATTGCAATTTCTGCAAAGGAATCCAACCTGTTGTTGAGTTTGGCGGTTTGCCGGATGTTGTCAGGCCCACTGGTGCGAAATACTAATTCAGATCCGTGAAATTATTCTTTGTGAGTTGAGTTTGTTCGAACGTCACTCTCTGAGAACATTGCTTTGGTTAAATCCATACAATCTGATTGTTGTTGTATTGCTGTAGGCCATTTTTACCCAGTTTATCGGCCACCTCATTCTGATCCCAAAAACGGGATGTTGAAAATGTCTGAGAACTAAACTGACTGGATCAATGACTCTCCAAATCAATATTTACCAGGATGCCACTCCATGAAATGGTTGACTTCTTTCATAACTGTGTTATTCGTAAGTCCCTAAACTGGAATATAGCACTTATGATACGGAAACGGCTGAACTTGAAATGGACAGATAATATTGCCAATGAATTCCAAGATACCTGTCACAGCCAAACTGACTGAGTTGCAATGGGAGATGCTCTGGGCCTCATGTTGGCCGGTATTTCACCAGCTGCGCTTGGAAGCTTTGAAGTCGTGGCATCTTCAAAACGTTGCACCACCGAGCTCAACAGCTTTGCACTGATGAAATACTTTGAGCAGATCTGAACAGACCTTAGACAAACACTCGAGTCCAAAAGTCGTTCCGAGATAAGCATTGAAGAACGCTGTACATACAAGCAAGCTGCAAAATGTTAGGGTTAGGGTTAGGGACATATACTATTTTGGGGGATTTTTGCGCGCTTAAACTCCAGTCATTGTCCAGCGTTTTTGTGTTCAAACGAAAATGCATGCCATTGTTTTTGAAGGAGGCCACTCATAACGATCATGTGAACTACCCAGCAGCCCATGAGTGGTTTCGCAAACCTTGGGTTCATCAACAAGATGCAGCCTCCAGATTACTTCAACTTTATGTTCTACTTGAAAGTATACTATCCGGGGTCCACGAAATACGCACAGCTTTTTTCACCTCGGGAGATCCCAATATATCTCGGCTAAATCTTTCAGTTGAAGAATACCATAATGAAAATATTCGACAGAATATAGTTTACAGCAATTCAGTTTACAGCAATTGAGGTTGTCAAGCATTCTTTCGTCTGAATGCGCTTCTTATTATTACAATCCTCGCTGCTATTGGATGGTTTATATGCTCAATTCCTGCGACCTCTTCATTCACTGAAACTGCCTCCGAAACACATTACTACATATATACACCTGGTTGACACAGCCGTTTGAACGTTGCAGTGTAATTCAGGCCCAAGAACTCGCAAGGTATAATTTATCTTCAGGTTTACTGGTTTACTGGAATATAATAACGGATACAGGGGTCACTTGTAAACGCTAGGTCAATTTTTCTTTAGCGTTTTTGGCTAATATTTCTACACATTTAATGGTGCCTTGTCAATACCAAATTAAAATCACCAAGAAATTATGTTTGTTCACGTGGCAACAGATCAACCTGTGAGTACGAAGAACTCTCACACCTGTTACGAACTGGGTAACCCAAGTGTCGCATAGAGTTTACTTTCGAGAAAAAATAAAGGTCTTTATTTGGCCGATCCAATCGGGCTCGATTAACTTAACCTTTTGTAAGCTTTTATGATACGGCCATGTGGCGATGATTCCAAGGTCAACTCAACTTGTCTATATGTGATATATGTTTCCATCTTCTGGCTGTGGTAGTTTACAATCAGACTAGTTTCCCGATTTTCATCTATTTTATTTATTTATTTATTTAATCCTGGACTGAAAAATGGGAATTTCTCTACCGACAATGAAACGCCTGTCGGTTCTGCTTTCGCAGTTTTATGAGAGCTAACATAAACTATAAGCTAATATACATAATATATATGATATATATAAGCTAATATATATGAGAGCTAATATATAACATATAATATAATATAATCTCTTTCGTTATAGTAACTCATCAGTCGGTTTCGGAACCCGAAACTCCACAGCATAATTTATCCTCTGTAAAACTGATACTGGATGCTTGGTCGCCTTATTCCGATTGAACCGAGAGTCTCTAAAGACTTTCATAATTGGATGACTCTTGTCTGACATCACTTAGATGCTCAATTAGTTTTCCATCTGTTCCCAAGTTATTCTTGGGCAGCTGTATATTGGTTTCGATCAAACCTGGGCTCAGTGTCCAGTAGGTCCGTGACTCGATGACGTTTCTATTCCATTTCTTCATAATTTTAAAGATCACTCATAAAGACGCATTCGAAAATGTCTTTGCCAACCCTATTTCTACTAATATGTGCTGACTTAGCGCAAGTTAAATTCAAAATACCCAAGTTTTAGAAGATGCGACTTTTGTTAGTAAATCAATAACGTTTTTCAAGCAATTTAACATTGAAATGGAGCTATTTATTCATTTTCATGATGGCTCTGTTTCCCCTGCAAAATGAAGGCTGCCACTTTGGACATCGCACGTAGCATACTCCTCACCAATTCGCTCCAGTTTTTCCCCTTTGTTTGACAAACCGTGTGCCCGTCATCTCCTTCTATGCATTGTGTCTCCATTTCTGGACCGTCCACTTCAATTTCACTGAGTACTTGTTCCAAATCGTGTTGCTCATCATCGACAACTGTTTCTTTTCCCTTGTTCGCCTCGCAGATGACCAACAATAGAAGAAAAGTTGCGAAAACACCGGTCGCTTTCATCATTATTTGATATGCTAAAAACAATAAAAAAATCAATTTTTAGTAAAATTAAACAAATATAGATATTTGTAACGGTCAGATTCCTTCGGGAACCTAAGTACAGACTTTTGAAGACGGAAAGTGTCTCAGCAGTATAACGTGTATCATTGTCGACCGCTAATTGCTGCCATATCTGTACATGTGTCAAGCGTCGCGCGATGGCAGTTTACAAGAGAGCAAAGTAGCATTATCTCGTTCCATTTTACGAAAGACTATTTTGAAGATAAGCTAATCGTCCTATGTAATCTACCGGGGCAAAACAACTATTTGCACCATTTAATCGGGAAAGCTCTTAAGAGCTCATCCCCGTGCTAGTGTGTGGCAACTGGAGTAGCCTGTAACCTCTGGACTCGTTTTGAATAAATCAATCATTCCCAGCAATTAGTTTGAAAGCTGTCAATCAGCGTATAAGATGTCTCGCGCATGAACCACAGCTCAGTTCCTTCTCGTATTCATATGCATGACATATAACCTAATAATTTTGTCTAATCTAACAGCTCATTTCGACTTCTCGTCAAGGTTCTCCTTTTTTTATCCACAATAATGTGACTTATTTTGCATTTATCTGAGTAGGAACTACCAACTGAATGAATTCCATCATTCGTCAGTTAGCTTTTCTATCCGATGTCTTGTGTACGTACAAGGCCTATTTTATATTCAAAGTTGTATTCTGAAAGTTTTTTCGTCACCACCGTGTAGTTTGACTCTTTATTCGCTTCACTTGTCCATGACAAATGTGACTGGGTTATATTTTGGTGCAGTTGTCGTGTATATTTCAACTTCTTGTCGAGATTCGTGACTTGAGTTTAAACGACTGTGTCTAATCTAGCAATGGTCACAATAGGAACTACCGGAGGAATGTACTCTCTCACTCACTAGTTAGGTGTCTACTCGACGACCTCTTTAAGTTTGAAGATCATCTTAATTTAACTTCGTTTCTTGATCTTTTATGTCGTCACCCGGTTCGCAAAGGGCAGAGAGTATGAATCATTCGTTGTGTAGAACTTTCTAGATTCGTGGATGATTTCTAACTGAATTTCTTTGTAAGTAGTGCAGCAAGAATCTAACTGTAAAAAACCTTTCGTGGAAAATCAAAAGCAGCTAAGCGGAATGACAATCACTTGAAGATAACACAAACATAAACAATTCTATGAAACGATGCTAAAGCGAATGCGCGAATGCCCGCAATCAAGAAGCACAATATCAGCTGAGCGATCAATTCAGCGGTTTTTGTGATGGAGACCGATGATATATTTATCTTAGATTGGGCCTAGAATCAGTTGTCGTTAATGGGATACCGGCACCAAGCACAGTGTCAGCTGAGCGATCAGTTCAGCAGTTTTCGTGATAGAGACCAATGACGCATTTATCCTAGATTAGGCCTAAAATCAGTTGTCGTTAATGGGATACCGGCACATCAGTCCAAGTGCCAAATTACTCCTTCATGAGTATAAGTCAAAGGGAATGACTGTGCTCTTTGAGCCTTCAAAGAATGTCATTTTGTCCGCCAACGCTGCACAACAAACACAACAGCGAAAATAATGATTCGTTCACATTATTTGTAAAGAAAAGCGGGCAACATGGTTCGACCAAACCAGAACTCATCTGTTTCAACAGAAAGTCGGCAACAGCTCGGAACTTACTTCAGCGTGTTTGTTGTTATCCGACACGAGTGAACTCACGCTCCTTTATATATCCGATTGATTGTTGCTTCAATTCATCGGTTCCGAAAACCATTGTCAGACAGGCCAGCTAAAGCATAGGTGTTGGAAGGCAATTTTTCATCTGTCCTGGTTCGTCTTTTTTACAGATCAAGAGTCGCTTAGTCAATAGGGTCCGCTCTCGTTTGGTGGATATTCGTTTTGACAGTGAAACGGAGTCACACAAAGTCGGATGTGTTGACCAGGTTCACCAAAGTCAGCGTTTAACTGGGGCAGCGGTTAGCTGATACATGTTTTGTCTGCCACTGTCACTTGAACTTCGCGCGGTTACAGTCCCCAGTTTTACTCATAGTGAAAAAATAGCTCTGAGTATTGTTACTAGAGTACGGTAATCTACCAAGGTATATGCAACTTCAAAGCAGCAATTACTCTCTGGATAAAACACTATTAACGAAGTGAACAATTTCGCAATTTCACCTACAGCAAACGGAATGCCCAAATGATCGAAAACAGTTTGGTCTATCTACCACTCTGAGCATCAAATATTTTGAATAACGAATAAGTTATCTCAACTTGCACGGTGCTTCACTGAGGGAGATGAAGTACTACGGCGAAAGGTGAAACACTTCAGGACTGATGCGGATATCTCTATGATAAACAAGTGGTTGGGGATGAATACCTTTTCATTCAACCATGTTTAAGCCGGTTGTTAGCTTGCAAGCTTACTGGTCGATGCTGAGACGTTGAGTCTTCATCGGCCCTAAGGTCTTACATGCTACACTAGTTTTGCCTTAGCGCAAACCGACTGTATGCATTCAACTGTGCGCAGACCTTCAATAGGTAAACTATCTTTGACTAAAGCATTTTATTCAAATGTCAGTTATTCATCTCAGTCTGCTGAGTTTAGTTTCACACTACGAAGCCTGAGCCTATAATATATCTAGTGATCCGATGTAATGAGGCACCGAAATCTCCGGCTTCATAACCACATCACAAGACCACTATTCTTTTCTATGATGCGGGCATAAAAATTCATGCTTTGCGGCAAAACCAGCGTGGATCTGGATTGTTGCAGAGTGATGTCAGACTGCAATAAATCCTCAAGTGTCAGAGTTCACTGGATCGGTATGGCGACAAGGTGCACAGTAATTTGAGTTGTTACGATCGATTGACTGAATTTGATAGAATTTAAGGCCTAATATTTGGTACTGTAAGCTGTATAGTTTGACAGAGCTACAGATGACTATCATTAAATTAGTCAACTTCCTTAATGATAATATATAAGCCATATTTCCAGAGATTCATTCGCTCTATTTGTATTCACATGCACGCGTTATATAGCAATCGTAAACTGCCTTTGATTGTTCGCGATTCCCGTATATACACGCACGCATTCACGTCCAGTCCCTGGACAATAGCCTGTCCAAAGCAAAAACTGCTCGCCTATCGAATCTGTAGGATAAACCAAATCTTTAGACACATGTCAGAATATCACCAATAGCCCATTTTGTTCCGAAATATGCAGCCCAAGTTCTACTGCTAGTTAGGATTTGGTTTCGAGATATGCAGCCCAAGTTCTACTGCTAGTTAGGGACCCATGACTCCCTCAGCCAAACTCATAGCTACTGGGGCAACCGTCCAGTCCTTTGTAAGTCAGGCTTCACTTGGGCTGTTTGTAAAAGGCTTCTTTCAACACCATGGGATCCAAAATTAGAGAAGGAAGACACCTACACTTTCTCTTCTGCCTCTCCGATAGTACATTCATTGGCCTCTGTGCTTGCCATTAGAAATTCCTGCAACCCCCCGCTTTCAGGTAGTCGGCACTGGAGTCTGGCTTAAACAACAAATGAACACATAGTTACACAATCTAACATGTGTATGTCATTAACAATCATGGCCTTTTAGAAGTTACGAATCTCCGGAACATTTGATGGAGAGTAGGAAACTCACCATCGTACTACATATGCACAAACTTCCTACTAGAGTATGTGATGAATTGGCACTCCTGCCTGTATGAACATCAGAAGGAATATAACTTCGTTTTAGATGCGTTTGATGAGTTTTGATACATACAATTATGAACAAAGTATAACGTGTATAAAATCTTGATGCTCCCTACCCAGAACGAATTAGCAAACACAGAACTCGTCCAATCAATCAACATTAAAGGACACAGAAAAGCTGGATCTACGAAGTCGGCAGCTGCGCATCAGCTGAAACCCGGGGGGGACACAGATTAAAAGGATTTCACAAGCGTGGTTGCGGTGCGTTTAGCTTGCCTGACGGGAGCAATTAAATCGACATTTACAACTGAAGCAGGAAGCACGGCCAGTTACTCAGAAGCAAGGAATGGGAGTGACAACACAATGCATGCTAAAGACAGACTAAACAAAGAAAGTGCCGTGAAAACACAAAGTACCGGGAAAACCAATCCAATTCAGGAAAGTTGGACAACACAGCAAAACAAATCTCAAGCGTGCCAATCAAAAGGACGAGAGAACCTGCAGAAGAATGTAATGCAGCCAATCATTGCAACGAAGATCAAGTCACAAACGGGCGATCAAGATTCAGAGATAGCCGGTCTCCAGTAAATCGTTGTTTTGGATGTCATTTAATTTTTAATGTTCCGTGAACTCCAGCCAATAGGGACACTGATGATGTCCCTACGCTTGGTGTGAAACAGTGATTAGCCGACTGTAAGCTCTGTGGACAAATCAATGACCTCCTGACCGACAAAATGGTCAACAATCTCAGTTTGCACGAGGCCAGCATGGTCGCTTTGATCAAGCTGCATATCTCTCACAGTCAGGTAGATGTGGTAATTGTTACCGTTAACGACTTTCATCTAACTGCGGGGTTATTGGAACAAACTGGTCAAAAGCCGTTCATTGGTGCTTCAACTCCGATGCAAATAACTCTTTTGTTGTCAGCACGCCGCAAAATGAGTGTGCACCACCTGCAAGCGGTAAAGTCTACTAGGTGTATATATGGATTAAATTGAAGCATTCGTCTAATTACGCATGCCGTTTCCTGGCGAAGTACGGTCAAGACAGGTAGTCTCTTTTCATGAAAGGGGCCGCGCGTTGTCTAATAAAGTCTGTGTTAACAGAGAAGAGTCGTCGAATACCGGTGAAAGGAAGGTTTACAAAAAGCAAGCATCCATCTTCTCTTAAACACATTTTCCTGAACTTTCCTGGGTATTCGTTGACTGTTACTCAAGTCCGAGCAAACACTACAAAGAAACTTTACAAATTTCGCACCGGATCTCCCTTTTCAAGAGACACAAAGCGAATTTACAGTAAGAAAACATATTACTCGCATGCCTTCCCATCAGTAGCATCACCGTTGCACCGGTAGATTTGGACGAGTCATCTCATGTTTTGACATACCAGCTTGTGTTCACAGAATGCCCCAAATCTCGACATTTGAAATTTAAATCCTAGTGTTTGGATACAAATGTTGTATCTTCTAAGTTACGGTAGTGATGAGTTAAAGCAATCTACATATTCGGCCAGTTCTGGTATTGTAATGTCCGACGATATTTGGTATCCTGGTTGACAGGTCTGCGACGAGACTTTAATGGGACTTGTTGGACGTTGTACTTCTGAGGAATTGAGGGCCCTTTATGATTCTGCATACGCAGTAAAGCGAAATGGCATGAAGTCCATGGATTGATACCTGATCACTGTGACTTGGGAAAATTTCTATACTACAAATATGAGATTGCGTTGTTTCGTTGGTCAAATCGGACATCTGTGCCCTGTCGCACGTTCTGCAACAGCCTTTAAAGATACGTGGACCCACGTATTCCCTTGTGCTTCAGGGGTAAACAAGGAAGTAGGCCAGAAAATCGTAACTTCCGTGTGAGCGGTAGTAGGATGCTTGGGTTTGTTTCCTTGACCCTTCCGTACCATATTTGGTAATCTAAGCGCCTCTGTAAGACAATGCCCGGCCTCTTGGTAACTCCTTCGATCAACAGAGTGTATGCCGTGTTTGCTTTCAGCATCAACGCATTTTTGCATTGATTTGATACTCCATTGTTTGCTTTGTTGAGCAAGGACAACAGTGGATAAACAGCAGCCTTCAGCCCTACACAATCAGTCTAGTCGGACTTTTGAAGAAATGTCTGCAGGTGGGGACACTTGTCCCAGAAGTATGTGCCAAAATAAATCGGGTAGCAGCTGCTGTGAACAAACGTAACTCCCAACACCAATTGGCCTTAAAAGCGACTTTGGTCCTCAAAAACCACCAGCTGAGGCAGCGAGTTGGTTCACGGTCATCACGGGATATAATAGTACTCCACTTTCTCCAATGTGGTCGGGATCTGCTTAGACATTGACTTAACCCACGCGATCACTACCGCATGGTGCAATTCGCAGGTGAGCCATGTTCCACTAAGGGCTGTCAGAAAAGACGACATTCTTCATTTATCTGTCGTATTATTGAAGGCTGATGCAAAGGACTGAAGCGATTAGTATAGGGTTTGTATGGATAGTTTGTATTGCCTGTTCTTCGGCAGTCTGTAGTAAGAAAAACATTGAAAGTGTCAGTTGCTGGGTCCCTGGATTGTAAATGTGGAGCAGAATACGGGGTCAAACGGCTACCTTCAGCGATTAAACTCTGGCAGTCAGTGAGCATCCCCGCTAATCGCATAGCGACGGCCCATTGTTGTTATCATAATCCATGCGGACCTGAGCTCCACGCTGGAAAATTTAGTGGTTCGTTTTTCGAAGTGTCTGCATTCATTAAAGACATCTAATTGAATAGGTGTTCTTGTTCTTCATCTGCCAAAACTTGCTCAGTTTAATTCCAATACGTCTTATTTGTCGTCAGTCAACGGACAAAGAAGTATTCCCCAACTTGTCCAGTGCCTATTTCAAATGAAACATTACTTCAGTTTTGGCTGCCTTGGAAAATCGAGTGACTAATGCCGCTGATTTTTGCTGCACGTTTCCCTTATATAAGTCTGCGGACTACCCGACGTATCAAAACACAGCAAAATTACCTCCTAATGTGGCTTTATCCCTCAGGTCCAAGGGGTGACTTGTGAAATGGTCTGTTTTGCCGTGGGCTCAATGAGGAACAAAGATTTCAGGTGTTGTCCTTAGACATCCTGATAGTTTGACGCACAAATCGCGGTTGCGCTAGCAACGGAATTGTAGATAATGACTCCTACAAACTGCCTCTCTTGGAAGATTGGTTGAATTAAAGCCTTCAATTGCAGGTTGGCGTCTCATTGAGGCACACGAAAAGCATTGATTTGGAAGCATTCTGTGAGACGCCTTCGTGCTCCGAACCATGGGTGTAGGGCAGTTTGTCACGGGCCAGTTTTTTGGGTATGGGTGTAGGGCAGTTTATCACGGGCCAGTTTTTTGGAAAATGGACCTCGTGACGCATGTGATTACATTTTATACGTGTTGAGCTTTGTGCCTAGGTGACTAGCTAATTAGACTCTGACTCATTAAGGAAACTATTCACAAGTTGCTGAAAACTGTTCGACAGCCCATGACCGGTTTCGCCCTTTTTGGGGCTCATTAGGTAGGCGCAGTCCCCGAGTTTCCGTCGTGGGCTGTCGAAGAGTTTTCAACAACCTTGTGAGTAGTTTCCTTCATGAAAATATATTGCGATATCTCGAATGTCGTGCCAACTGAAACATGAGGCGGCCTCTGTGCAGCACATTCAGTTGTAGAATATCATAAATGAGAGGCTCATTTGAGTCTCTCGCGAAAAACAGATTGATTTGCGAATGAGTGTATTTCTCGTAGACTGTGACTCGTTTTGTCTCTGTCTCTCTAATTAAGGCGAAATCAATTAAAATCTGCAGAATTCTATGAAAAACTTTTTAAATCAGGAATATTAGTGCGCAACAGTCTTAGCTAGAAGTCACAACCACGTAAGCGTTCACCAAACGTCAGTCCTGGTTCACATTATGAAAGATTTCGATGCGATAATCAGGTATTTCCCTGTCACACGGACGAAGCAAACAAAATCTGCGATTACCTCATCCACAGCGGTTGATGGGCTCTCTGATCGCTCTGAAGAGAGTTGTTTGACCCGACAACGGATTCAATCAGCCTGCAGAATTAAGATAAATTTTCACACTCTCCTTATAACTGACCTTCAAAAGTTCACGTACAACCAACAAATAGGCGGTGCACTTTGATCATCAGTCGGCAAACAGGTTCGTCCCACTAGCGTATCAAATCAGTTCTATGAAGTGCACATAGGTTTACGGATCTCAGGGCGATATGAATAGTAGCCTAACCTCGCATAAATAATCCGAGGTCAAATGTGTCTTTTATATTGCCGACTAGTCGTATCTGAACAAAGAACACTACGTAATTTACACAAGCCATAGAACCAGTTAACAGCCGAGTTGACGACGGTTTCCAATATCAACAACATTCAAATTGCTGCTTGACTGCTTTAAACTAACCCGACTATCTTACATCCTTGTCACGTTCCTGATGATAAGGCTAGTTGGCTGCCGCTTGCCATTCGTCGGTATTCGTCCGTGCGCTGAGGCCTCTAATGAGCATCGTTTGTCCGTCCGAATGTCACCGTGACAATAATCTTCATGCTTTACACTCGCTGATGTTGCCCGATCACTCAAAACTACTTAGTGTAAACGCGAGACTTCACTGAAAAACGAAATGCACTAGATTGCATTTTCCTGCAGATATTTTGTCGACATCCTCCTTGAGAACGGAGGTAAAACTGACCTAACCAGATAATCCGTGGCAGGTAGATTACCCAACAGGGCGAAATTTACCTCACCCATTATTTAGGTATCGATGAGTTTGGGTAAGTCATCAGAATTAGCACTGTTGTACAACCGGTGAAAATTTTGCAAGATACTGATTAGCGAAGATCTTATCGGTGCCTCTAAATTTCGTGAAGCAAAGAACACACCAGTCTTTTATTCATTCTGACTTCTACTTTGCAGCTAATATAGGACTTCATATTGAAAATTGCGCATAAATTGACATAGGTTATTAGTGTTAAAAATGCGTCGCAAAGGAATACCGTATGATGGGAATAACGAGACCTCGATCGGAGACCGACAAGCAACAAAATTCGCAATGTCGTCGCTCACGCATGCAAACGATTTCAAGATGGAATCCCAGCTCGTTTTGAGTCTATCAAATGTTATCATTCCTTGTGGAGTGCGTTTGTCATAACGTCACTCTCTGGAAACTTTGCTTTAATTAAGTCCACACAATCTGAATGTTGGTTAAGGTGAGTATTTGTATTACTATGAGCCATTTTTACCCAGTTTATCGGCCACCTGATTCTGATTCCAAAAAGGGGAAGGTGGAATTGTCTTAGAACTAAAATGACTGGATACTGACTGGAGCAATGACTCTCCAAATCAATATTTACCTGGGTGCCACTCCATGAAACGGTTGACTTCTTTCATAACTGTGTTATTCGAAAGCCACCAAACCTGAATACAGCGCTTATGGTTCGTTAACCCCCCGAACTTGGAATGGTCAGATAATATTGCCATCGAATTTCAAGATACCTGTTACAGCCAAACTAATGGAGTTGCAATGGGAGATGCTCTGGGCCCCATATTTGCCAGCATTTCACCAGCTGCGCGCTGAAGCTGTGGAATCGTAACATGTTCAAAGCGTTGCATCACCGAGCTTAACAGCTTTGCACTGATGAAACACCTTAAGAGAAATTCAATAACCTTAGACGCACCGTCTAGTCCAAATGTCAACCGGAAATGCGCATTTGGGAGCAGTGTTCAGGCACCCGAATTGGAGAGTGGCGGCATTATCCCCAAACTTGAAATTCTCAGTAACCAGACATTCAGCGCAAGTCCGATCAGTCTGTTGACCGCAGCGATGCCACCTTCGAAGATCCCACTAAAGAATCCACTTCTAAGTGCAACCACCTTTCGTTCCGCTGCGGATGGCCATGTTTTCAATGGGCTGCCTCATCCAAAATCAGTCTCCTCAGAAGAGGTAGATGTCGTGAGTCTTAGATGGACTAACTTGGACAATTCTGTGGTGTGTATGAATCACGTCTAGTTCTGCTTATAAGATCGTTGTTTATTTATTTATTTATTTGTTTATTTGCTTATTCAGTTTAGCAAAACATGACAATAGAGCCAACTCAGGTCTACATGAAGCCTCCCACCGCGTTATCCCTTGTTACAAAATAAAGTAGCGAATACTTAGTATGCTGTACGAAACAACAGTTCCACAAGTACACTCGTTTGTATAAAAGTATAGTTTTTCATGAAGAAAACAGTTGAATCTTTTCTGTATGACAATCTTTAACTGAGATTAATGCGCAGAGGCTTTCAATGTTTCAATTGATACGATATTCAAGATATCACAGCACATTTTCATGAAGGGAACTACTCAAAAGTTTGCTGAAAACACTTCGACAGCGCACAACCGATTTCGCCAGAGTTTGTGCTTATCAGGCACGCGCTGTTTCAGAATTTAGATCAACCTCATGCCCTACTCAAGCTGGACCCACATTGTACGAGCTTCACAAAATGCGCTCGTTCACACACCACTCTCGATTCAATGGGGGAGAATCAACTGAATCTCAGCTTAATCTCTCATTTACGATATTTTAGTTGAAAAACACGATTGAGAGACTCAACAGCGATACGTTTTAATACTATTATCACAATGACCTGAGGTTGTCAAGCACCCTTTCGTCTAGCTGCACCAACCCTTATCACAATCTCTCTGGTGTTGGAGGGCTGTCTACGCTCAATTCGTGCCAGCTCTTACCTTTGAACAAAATACAATCAACTCCTCTGCCTCCAAAACAAATAACGCATCCTTTACAGATCTATCGTGTAATGGTAACTGCAACTGAAAACTCTCCGATATCCCACCCGGTTTCGCTCATCTTGGGGCTCATCAGGTTGGCGCAGTCCCCGAGTTCCAGGTGAGCCTCCCGCAAAAACCAAATTGGTATGCAAAAGGGTGTATTTTGCTTTTGTATAGCTTGGCTCCAATTTACTGTCTGTTTTAGTAGACCAACTTACATAAGCTAAGTCAATTTTTGTTATTCTACTACTGATGGCTGAAAGATTTGGCCCCATTATATTTTGTAATACTTCGTCTGTACGGAATTACAATACGCCAATAAAAATAAACTGCACAATGTCCCAATAAAATTATATTCGTTTACATGGTAACTGATTAATCGATTAGTGCGCGGAAGTAGCGCATGTGTCATGTCTAAGGTAACCAAAATGTTACATCGAGTTCCGCTTAACTTGTCAGATCATGGTGGTCTCAGTAAGTTTAATAATTTGTGAGTTTTTTTGATAGAACAAAGTGCTGGATTCCAAAGTACACACAGCTTTTATATCTGTGATGAAAAGATGTTTCCCATCTTCGGCCTGTGGTAATTCGCAATCAAACAAGTGTCTCGATTTTTACCAGTTATTTTGTCCTGGGCCCAGAAAGGAATGTGATTCTGGCTACTGACTTTGAAAGTACACTCGTTTGCAAACAAATCTAGTTCTTTGAGAGACTCACCTGGAACCCAGCTAAATTGATCGTTTGTGGTGCTTTCAGGCAACTGAATGTGCTGCATTCAGGCCGCCTCATGTTTCAGCCGCTACGATATTCAATATATCGTGATATACGTATATTCGTAATGCACCACTATTCATAAGGTTGCTAAAAATTCCTCTACAGCCCTCGACCGGTTTCGCTCTTATTGTGGCTCGTCGGCTAGGTGCAGTCCTCGAGTTTGCGTCAACTTTATGTCCTACTTGAACTCAAATTGCACAAAATTAGCGAAATGCACTCACTTACAAACAAATTTGGTTTTGCGAGAGATTCATCTAGAATTTGTTGGTCTTGCCCATATGACGTCCTTCGTTGTTCGCACAGTGGGATCACGATCATTATAGATTACAGTAGTAAACACTTGGTCAGCTTACAACTCGAATCTCTGCAGCACTGTGTGTCCTTTTTACTACCGAACTTTTGATAAAATATCAGAGTTTGCAGATTTTGGTTTGACCTAACTGGGCTCCTCAATAAACTATTTAGGATATCCATCCCTATCCATAATATTTTTGAGTAGCTGAAGCTTGATGTCACTTTAATTTTGGGGAGCATGTTTGACTTGATGCCGCTGATATTTTGTTTTTAAGGTCTACAGGGTGGCTCAGTGGTTACAGCGCTAATTCACTGGCCGGAATGTCTGCAGTCCGAACCCTACCTGACTTCTCCTGTCTAGGCTTGAGCAATCTGATAGTATCCCAGCTTTCGTGCCACCTTCGGGTGGCATGGCAGCTAGACATCGAACGGTTATTATAACTATCATTATTTAGTAACTTCAGGATTTAAAGCGTAAAAACCCGTTTACAGTCCCGATTTTACGGATAGATCGGTTGCCTCGGTGTGAAAGTACGTCTAAGACGGCAAGTAATTACTCCTTCATAAATTCCCCTGAGATTTGGGTCCGTTTTTGACGAACTTCTTGACTGACGCCCGATTGCGGTCGACATATCGTTTGCGTTACATACTGGCCGTGATGTTAGATCGTCCATACTCCAACAGGAATCATAATAACGACTACTATCGGTTGCTCACTGCCACACCATCAAGTTTGCTCCGAGCTGAATTCCAAAACGTACAACTAAAACTATCCACTCTTAGTAAGGTTCACCAGAACTGCAATACGGTCATGTACTGAGATAATTAGGCCATACGGGCCATAAACTGTTTCAAGTGAAGGCGCGGCCAATGATTCACATCAGAGGGGGGAGGCTTGTGAACTGGAACAACGTGCGCGGAATTGGAAAACATGGTAATATTGACACGTTGACAAACCGAAGCATACCACACAACTCTGTTTCCACTTTTTGACTTCAAACAGTTGTAAAGTACGAAGAGTCTGGCGATACCGTTGCCTGGTGCAAAAATTGCAACATCCAGATTTGCTTAATCGTTCATCTACGGAAAGGTCATTTCGCACTTGGAAAAAACCATTGTTCACTCTTTTAAAAGCAGTTGAAAAGATATTTATTACATCTTTTATGTGCAGAGCTGTCACAAACTGAATTCCCGTTCAACCAAGTTTTTGGAAAGGCGAATTTCGGGAGCAAATCAATCTAATGTGTTGTAGTGAACTTCGCGGAACTAGTTGAATTGAAATATGGTCATTTATTCATCATCATCATCATGGTTGTGTTTCTCCTGTAAAATGTAGGCTGCCACTTTGGACATTGCGCGTAGCATGCTCCTAACGAATTCGCTCCAGTTTTTCCCCTTTGTATGACAAATGTTATGCCCGTGATCTCCATCTGGGCATTTCGTCTCCCATTCTGGATCACTCACTTCAATTTCACTGATCACTTGTTCCAAATCGTGTTTCTTTGGTTCCGCAGCAGATTCTTGTGCCTGTTTTGCATTGCAGATGACCAAGAGTAGAAGGAATGTTGCAAAGACACCGGTCGTCTTCGTCATTCTTGGAGATGCTAGAAGGAAAAAATGCATTCATTTCTTAGGAAATTGAAACAAAAATAGATATTTGTAACTGTCAGACTCCTTCAGGAATCTGACGACTGATTTTCAAAGACCTAAAGATCCTCATAAATACGACGTTTATCGTTGCTGACCGCAAATTTCTGGCCTGTCCATGTCGAATATCACATTTTACACGACAGCAAGATTGCGAAGTCGTATTACCTCGTTACTCAGAAAATTGACATACTGTTCTTCCGTTGGTTTTGGACAGAAACTAACCGTTTTAGTTGATCTAGCAAAGCCAAATGAGTATTTACACCGTTTATTTGTGAAAGCATGCCATTTTGTGGCAGCCTGTAGAGTCGTTGCGAATAAATCGACGAATTCTAACAGTTAGTTTGAAAAGAGTCAAAATTAGCGTATGAAATGTTTTGCGCATGAACCATAGCTCATTGTTCACTCGTGTGATAATTGACTGCTGATTTGTGATCAATATGTCCGTATGCATGACATCTAACTTAATAACTTTATTTCTTGTCTAATCTAGCAGCTTATTTGAATGTCTTGTCGAAATTCTCGTTTTCAATTCAAATTACTGTGGTTAATTTTGCAATGGCCCGAGTGGGAACTACCAGCTGAGTGCATTCGCTAATTAGCTTCTCTATCCGATGTCTTGTGCATATACGAGGTTTATTCACACTCAAAATCGTATTCTGATAGATTGTGTCCTCACCACCGAGCAGTCCGACTGTTTGTTTGCTCCACTTGTCCATGACAAATGTGATTGCGCTATGTTTTTGTGCAGTTGTCCTGTACACATAATTGCTTTAACAGCTCATTTAAGCTTACTGTATCTAATCTAACAATGGTCACAATAGGAACTACAAGCGGAATATACTCTATCACTCACTAGTTAGGTGTCTATGCAACACCCTTCGTAAGTTTGAAAGTTTTCTTTCGATTGGACTTTATCTCCTGATCTTTTATGTCGTCACCCCTGAACAGTCCGACTGTTTGTTTGCTTCACTCTACCACGCCAAATGTGATTGGACTAAAATTTTGCACGGTTACTGTGATGGCGTAATTGCCTAGTGCGCTTCTGGAAGGGATTCTTTCAAACTTCTCGCCACACATCCGTCAGTACTGACCGTATCGGCCGAAGCTGCCAAGTTTTTGTGTTTTCTATAGAGGAAAGTGTTGGTAACTCAGGTGGCGTAGATGGTTGTTGGCTTGTTCGCTGAGCTGGGCAATTTGATTACAACTTGTGTTTTTGTGTCCCTGTTCGTTTCTTTACCTGCCTATGCCAACTCACCTATAGGGTTTCCCTGTTCTGACGTGGCTTTTCATGACAAACACTTTGGCAGCCACACCATCAATCCAAAATTTCGACTTATGATCTCATGGAGTAGTCTAAAATTCTTCTATCACAATCAATCCTTCTTGATTTCGGTCTTGACACCTGAATCATGCTACCCGGTCAGTGATCTTTGAAGTGAATGGACTACAACTCACGCAGTGAGACATTCAGAGGGCTGACAACAGCACAACTGAATCACCTAAATATGCAATAAGACGCGTTAGAAAACTATGACGTTTCCGTGATCATAAAATTTGGGCTTCCTCGCTTGACTGGGAAAACAACCGCTACTCTCCAGAGATTATGAATTAGTTTCAGGTTTTTTAGAAATGCATGTCCGGGAACTGGTTTGAGAAGGGCAGAGAGTATGAATCATTCGTTGTGTAAAACTTTCTAGATTCGTGGATGATTTCTAACTGAATTCCTTCCCAAGTATTCCAGCAAGAGTCTAACTGTAAGAAACCTTTTGTGGAAAATCCACAACAGCTAAGTGGATGGACAATCACTTGAAGAGAAAACAAACTTAGGCGATTTTTATGAAACCATGCTAATGTCAGTTGAGCGTTTAATTCAGCGGCTTTCGTCATGATATATTTATCACAGATTAGGCCTAAAATCTCATTTGCCATTAAGGCGCTACCGGTACGTCACTCCAACTGGCAAGTTACTCCTTCGTGAGTGTACATCGAAGAGTGTTAGCTCGATAAGACGGGAATATCGAATAACTGTTCTCTCGGGGCCTTTGAAGAGTGCAATTTTGCTCGCCAACCCTGCACAACAATCACAACAGCCAAAATAGCCATTCGTTGGATAGTTTCTAAAGAAGAATAGATAACGTACCGAGACCCAACCAATCCCCATCTGTTTCATCACCGAAACCAGAAAGTTGAAAACACCTTGGGACTTACTTTAACGTGTATGTAGTTATCCGGCAGGACTGAGCTCACACTCTTTTATATACCCGATTGACTGATGCTTGAATTTATCAGTTTCGAAAATCATTGTCAGGCAACGAAGGTAAACCATAGGTGCTGGTAGGCAATTTTTCATCCGTCCTCGTTCGGCTTTTCTTACGGATAAAAAAGCATTCAATCACTAAAGTGCGCTTTATATCTCGTTCAGTGGCTATTCATTTTGACAGTCTCACAATGAAGCAGAGTCACACAAAGTCGGAGGTCTTGACCAGGTTAACCAAAGCAACCATTCTGTTAGGACAGTGGATAGCGGGTACATTGTGAACTATTCTTTGCTGGGCTCCGAACCGTGCGAAACAGTCTGTTTTCTGAGCCAGATACTGGTGCGCCTGACTATGGGCCACGCCACCATGCATGAGTATTTTTGCAGTTTTTCGGCTTTTTCACCACCGTAACATGTTACCTTATGCGTCTGTTTTGCGAGTAATATGGCACCACATTGACTATGACACCTTAAGTACAAGCCGAACTTGTACTAACGTTTGTTGCAGATATATTCACTTCGAAATGCGTTTTTAACACAGTTCCTGCCCTCCTCAGATACCGTGAACAGACAGTTTTGCACAAAATATGTGTCAACATATTTGACGTTCATTTTTCTCACTCGAGTGATCCAGTGGATCGGTTTCTTCCTGTTCGCAGTACAGTACAGCCCAGTTCAGCTGTTAGTGGAACACTTGCACAGTGGATGGGCTAATATTGCCTGTTCTATGTGACAAAATCATTCGAGTTCTGCTTTCCGATATAGGGACTTGGTATCAGGCTGTGAAGGAACGTCAAACCATATGGTGTGCCTGTGGTGTTTGGTAGTTTTATTTTGTTTTCATTATAACATTGCCCATTTTGTCAATTGCATAATCATTTTTGTTTGAATACGGAAAACTGCAAAAACGCGCACTTGTACAGTGGTCACGCGCCCCGACTCTCTATTCTGATTTCGCTCGCGCTTACAGCGGTCACTTGCGATTCTCATGCACTACGTCCAATATCAAAACCGCTGGACAACCATGATTCGATTATTGTTTAGTCGCTGACCTGGCCATCTTAAGGAGAACAATTATTAGTGAGTCTGTTCCATCTGACCTCTTTATTATTGTGTACACAATCTAGCGTTATTGTTTTTATTTCTTTGCCACACACTCCTGGTAAAGCAACGTATATAGAAGCCAGAGCACTAGATACTACACCGGTTTGACGAGAAAGCGCGCAGTGCTTTGAGTTGCAACTATCGACCGAGGAAGGGTTTTAAGACCCGGAAACTCGTATTGAAAGCTGTATGGTTTGACAGCTCTACAGATCACCATCAGCATATCGATCATTTAACATAACAATCAGATATAGATCATATTTCCAGAGATTCGCTCGCTCTATTTGTATCCACATGTACAATTTTGCAGCACTCTTAAACTACCGCCCATTTTTCGCGTTTTCAGTTTTTATAATTTAATAAACGCGCGCGTCATTGAAATGTATATCATCTTTTAGTGGACCGGTAAGCATACATACAAATTTCGATCTACCCTCATTTTGGCGGCTCCCTCCTGTTGCCCGTAATTTTGGAAAACACCAAACGAGGTGCTTACAATCTGTAAAATTGAAATGAATCCTCCTGTGCTCCCATACACTCGGTTTACTCTTCAAGATCATTACAAGATCTCAGCGAAATACACCCGTTTGCAAACTAATTTGGTTTTTCGACAGGCTCACCTGGAATATAGCTGAATCCCTCGTTCGTGAAGTTTCCAGGCGACTGACTGTGCTGCACCAGACCGCCCCATGTTTCAGTCACTACGATATTTGAGATATCGCGATGTATATGTTCTCATCCACTACTCATGAGTAGTAGTGCATTACGAGTACAAGATATCATTATTGTTTTGATACCGGACGCTTTCATTTTTAACTATATTTTCATGTGGTTAGACTCCATAACAAAAATTGCCATTCCTGAAATTTTAGAAGGTTTGCGAGTTTCTTTTGGAGATTTTTTCCTGCGAAAACAATTTGTTTGAAAGTCGAGTATCACAGGGAATCAGCAAACTTCTTACTACAGATGAAGCAGCTTTACGGTGGTTTTCGGCTATTCATCATGAGTTGATTTCGCTTCCTGGCAAACTGTCTATAAAAATGTGCCTATCCGTAAGTCACGAAACTCTGAATTCTATTTTGCTGTTTTCATGCAATCTTTCGTTTGTAACCCATCAGATATTATTGAAATAAGTGTACCTTTGGCATATTTTGGATGATCTGTTAATTCCGTGACGTAATTATTTGTTTCCCTATTCCTCAGGCTAACNTATATTCACTTCGAAATGCGTTTTTAACACAGTTCCTGCCCTCCTCAGATACCGTGAACAGACAGTTTTGCACAAAATATGTGTCAACATATTTGACGTTCATTTTTCTCACTCGAGTGATCCAGTGGATCGGTTTCTTCCTGTTCGCAGTACAGTACAGCCCAGTTCAGCTGTTAGTGGAACACTTGCACAGTGGATGGGCTAATATTGCCTGTTCTATGTGACAAAATCATTCGAGTTCTGCTTTCCGATATAGGGACTTGGTATCAGGCTGTGAAGGAACGTCAAACCATATGGTGTGCCTGTGGTGTTTGGTAGTTTTATTTTGTTTTCATTATAACATTGCCCATTTTGTCAATTGCATAATCATTT